ACAATACATAGGAATAACCCTGTCAAAGGTGTAGATAAAATATTTTATTTATTGGTATAGTAATAATACAGTCGTATAAGAAAATATTACAATTGCGATAATACTTGTAATGTGGTTTTAACCGATTTTATTAATCTAAAAAAGAATATTACAAACATGTTTAAATATAAATAAAAAACAAATACAAATTTAAATAAACAAAACATTTACCTAAAAAAGAATAATTAATTACACGACGTTTACCACACATTTATATTATTAAGGGAAACACACTAAAAAGAACTACATATAACAGATAGACACTGATAACACAATTATAAAATATCAACACAATTACACAGATGGCGCTAACCTAAAGTTTTTACACCTCCCCCTCAGAGGTCTCTTTTCTGGGGAAAAGGAGACAACTTAACACTATGAAAAAAATTTGACACTTTTTTCTTTTTTCCACACCCTACTTCGTAGAAGGAAGGTGAAATTTTCCTCAGTATCGGAAAAGGTCCCGTTCTAACTTTATCCATTTTTCCTCTGTTTATTTTATTCCCATTCTCAATGTATACTTCATCTCCAACATTAAATTCATGTATTTTCCTATTTCTATCAACTCTTTTTTTGTTGATTTCAAAGTTTTTTTTCGAATTTTCTAATGCTTTTATCCTGTNTTTTATCTTATCTTCTACCAAGTTGTTCGATGTCTCTATTGGACTAATGTTTGATTTTTTTCCAAATAATAAATAAGCTGGTTCAAATTTTGTTACACTGTTGTACTCTTTAACACATTCTTCGGCTATTGTTGACCAAGCTTGTTTTCTACCACCATTTATCTTACATATTATCCTATAGACCAAAGTTTGATTTATTCGCTCGTTCAATCCGTTTGATTGTGTTCAGTTTACACTAGTAAACATTAACTGGATATTTGTTTAATTCATCAGAGTTTAAACTAGTATATTGATCCGCTAATAATATAGTAATTTCATTATTTCTTGCAACTGGATCAATAAGGTTAATAAAATCTTTGGCACACTGTCCCCGAGTAGTTGAAATCCAGACATATCTACTAAAATGGCCAATTAAAATGTGCATATACTTTTTTGTAGATCTATTATTTTTAAAACCACCTACTGTATCAATGGACATTATCTCATAGGGTTCACAAGCAGGACCAAGTTTTGACATCATACCAATTAATCTATTTCTTCACGTTTTATTTTCCATACAAACAATAAAACTCTAAGGTTTTAGTATAAAAAAAAATTATGTTGATTTGTTTATTTTTCAAAAAGTTATGGAAGTTTTAAGAAAAAAAAGTGAAAAAATTTCGAAAATTAGCGATTTTTAAATTTGTAATTTTTTTGG